ATTCAGTGTTCAAAGATGGCTTTTTTATCTTTGATTTATTTCCAATTTTTACTGTGTTTAAAGCAGAATGTACAGCGAGGGTTCAAGAATTTAATCTATGTTGAAGAAAGACGGTAATAAAAAATATTGAAAACAAAATAAATGATTATACCATTAATAGATAAATTAAGAATTATAGTAAGAAAAATAAGGATAAATAGCACTTTAACATTTCATTTGTTGAAACATGGCTCTATATATCTTTGATTGATTTCCCATTTTATTACTAATAACGTTTTTCTGTTAATTTTCAATAAGTGGTAATTAATTTTGTGTTAACATTGCTCTTCAAAGACTGATAAATTTTGTTAATCTTTCCTCTTCAAGTAATGGTAATTAATATTATGTTACAGTTCTTTTTCAAATTATAGTAAACAATATTGTTCAAGCATTCTACTTTAGTGAAGATTAATGAGTATCATTTTACCATTCTTGAACAAATCAAGCCGAGTCCTGCTCTTCTGTACATAAAAAAAAGGGCATCTTACATTATGTTTTGCCACAATTTCTGTATGGTTAGGTTAGGCTAACCTATAATTGGTCATGCAAACTTAAGACAAGTTGGGTTTACAGTTACAGTGTTCTTCAGGTGCTTCTCGATAGAGAGAAGAGTCCAGAATACATCCAAACACAAAGTAGTCTAAAAACATTAATTATGTGAAGAATAAAATGTAAGAACACTAAAGAGTAACTCATCAACAACAAAATGTCTTCACAAATAAACAATAATCTGCAGGGCTTGAAGAAATATCTATAAAGAAATAAGATAATCATTACTTAATGTTTAACAAATGTCAAGAGACTGGTGTGCATACATTCATAAATCTATAACTCATTTAATAAGACAGGCTATTTACACAGATATTTAGCTTTTTCACATACATTCCAAAGACAGATATTTTAATTATTTAACAAAAAGACTATTGTAGAACTTGCTGCCATCTATTCTTGAGGAAATGAAATAATTGAAAACTATAAGTAACAATGGATATTCAACAGAAATAAAGCAGTATAAAATTAAGGATTCAATGAGGAATGTAACATAAATTGTACTTTAACATTTCTCATTTAAAGTTGAATGATGGCTGTTTTTATTTTTGATAAATTTCCTACTTTATTTTTGTTTTCTAAAATTTGTTTTTGTCATTAAATACACAGTAGGATTTGCTGCCAGCCAAGGATCAAAAAATGAATCTATATTGAGAAACAAAAACAATGGGAGATTTTACAAAGAAATAAATAAACATACCATTAATAGCTAAAATAAGAAATACAGTGACAAAAATAAACATAAATAGCATTTTAACATTTCAGGTTCACTAGTTGAAACATGGCTCTATCTAACTTTGATTCATTTCGCATTTTATTTCTAGTGGATCCATTTTAATGCTAATAATGTCTTTTGTTAATTTTCAATGAGTGGAAAATACTTTTGTGTTAATATTCTTTCTAAATGATTGGTAATGAGTATTAGCAACGTTTGTTCTTCGCATTATTGTAATTAATATTGCATTAGGAGTTTTTTCATTGTACAGTAATCAACACTTCTTCATTAAGTGGCAATCTGTATCATGTTACTGTTATTCTAAAAAACCTATTGTGAGAAGTTGAGTCCTGCTCTTCCTTACATACAAAATATAATCTTACACTATTTTTTGTCACATGTTTTTACTAAATTTGTGTAAGCTTAGGTTAGTTCAGGCTAGTTTACTTTACACTACCCTAGATTATTTTGTGTTATACTTTTTTAGGTTTATGGCTAGGGTGATCCGCAGACACTCAACAATGAACAGTAGACAAAATGGCTTCGTAACACGTTATCAAAGTACAAAAAATATAAATACATGAAAAAGAAGAATTAAAGCCATTAACAACTGTAAATAGTAGCTCACCAACAACGAAATGTCTTCACACAGCAACAACAATTTACAGTACTTGTTAACTCATCGTCTTGAAGAAAGATCAATAAAAAAACACGATAGCCATTAAATAATGTTTAGTAAAATAAAGAGATTTATATCAATAAACTCATATATATATATGTTTAGACGGCTATCAGTTCCTCTAACGATTATGTTATTGGCAGTGAGTTTTGTTATTAAGTTCTTCCTTATTACTTTACTTAATTTCTGGTGACAAATATTTTTATTCGTTGAATGAAAAGGTTCCGGTTGTCCCTATATACAGCATAGAATGTGCTGCCATCCATTGTTTAAACACGTCGTTATTTTAAATATTAAACGTTTATTCTTTTTATTTTCGTACTACTTTTTCTTTTGGATACTACATAGCAGTATAGTTTAAGTTTTGTCCAAAGACAACACATAAATAAAATACAATACAAATGAAATTTGAAATTACTAAAACAGAGATAGAGCTTATGTTACTAAATTGAAAATTTATGTTAATTATCTCACTGTAATTTTTATTTAAAAATTAAATATCTACTTGTTTTTCATTTTATTTTAATATCCTACATTATTTTTTTCATCTTAGTTTAACTATCGGTCACTGTATGGCAATATACTCCACCTTAAGTTCGATGAAAACGCACAAATGTAATAAATAAAAATTAAATGTATAAAAGAGAGAAAGGGATATTTTCCTGGACTGAACATAATGTAATGGTACAATTTTAGGGTCTTTTCCGTTTGGTGCCCACTAACAGATCGTTTTAAAAATAACACCAGTAATGCAGTAAAATAAAATAATTAATAATAAAACATTATATGATATTTATTTAGCGAATTCTGTGACATTAGAGAATATTTTTTTGATTAAATCTTCATCTTTGTTTCTATTTCTCCATATAAGTTCACAAAGAGTAAATCATTTGACGATGAGTTCCACATTGACGTTCATTTCTTCGCTTTAAACTGTGCCACATTTTTTTAATATTTTAGGTATGGTTCCAGGATATACAAAATTTTCACTGCGGTTTACAGTTTCATGGCAGTAAAAAATAACCTTCCACGTTCGGGATGTTGCTGTATGCTTTACACGAAAAAGATAATTTTTTTATATTGTTGGTGAGCACCAAATGAAAAATATCATAATTTTATGACTGTGATTTTTATCTGAATATTAAGGGGATTAATTATTTTTCATTATATTTTAATATCGTACATTATTAAATTTGTTTTCTTAGTTTAACTTTTGGACACTGGATAGCAATATACGCTACCCAAAGTTCGATATAAACAAACACATATAATAAATACAAAGTAAATGGAGTTGGAAAAGAATAAAATATATGAGGAACTATGAAACTAGACTGAACTTAATGTTACCATGCAATGCTTACTATTTTTTAACTGTATTTGTTATTTCAATTATAGATTTACTTTTCTAACATTTTATTTTAATACCCTCCATTATTTTT